AACATTAACCCTGTCTATTATTTCGTGGAATGTAGCTGAAACTCATCTATCCTAATCTTCTGTTCTGTCGGAGGGGGGGGGCGGGGGCACGTAAACTACCCCTACCGCAGTAAATACAGAGATAAATACTGGATTTCATGCTTGTTTGAGAAATGCCCTTAGAAATGTATCTGCTCAAACCTGCTAATGTGCACGATAGGAGAAGTGTACTGAGACCTTTTTTCCTATGGAAACGGTGGTTATAAGGGGTGTTGGGGTGGGGGAATAGGATAGACAATGAAGAAAATCTGTAGAGGTAAGCGTAAAGTGGAAAATTGTATTGAAGCTTGTTTCCCGCGACCGCTAGGAGTAAGTTGTTTCGCATGTAAATTGATGGCGTGCGTGGCGCTTCGCGCTGCGGGCTTTACTAATCTAACTCCAGAACGGTAAGTTGGACCTCAGGTAAGTTGAAGTAGAGGACCTTCTAACCACCGTTTCATTTTTTCGGGAATCTCAAGAAATCTGCATTTCGATAATTGGGTTTTTCCACAATACGATAAGCAATAACGCAGATTAGGAAAACCCTCAGATATAAGACACCAACATTTCGAAATAAAATAAAATGAAAGCGCATGTAGCAGTTATTAAAGTATATTCCACTGATTATCCTAATTCCCTACCCATAAAACCCCTATAGCCATCGTTTCCGTAGGATAGAATTCTGGGACTATGGGTATATGAGGTGCACTACTTAAACTACTACTGCCGGAAAAATGCTAGGACTAGGAGTATATGAGGTGCACTACGTAAACTATCTTTACCGTCCCAATTAATTCTCGGGAGGAGAACGGGCCGGTCTTTTAGGCTTCAATCTCGGCATTGAAGCTAATTTGACTGATCTAAGCCTACTAGCACAGAACACTGACTAAAGCCTTCTGATACAGGTGGGGACAATTATTTCTTTGGTGTTACCTACGACGTCTCGTAGACAGACTGTTTTCGCTAACTTATTCATTCAGTACGTGCTGAAAACATCGCGATGCTGATGAAATCGTCTGTTGAATCCTAGTTAACTGTGTATCGGGTGAGGTTTAGAATAAACTCATCCGAAACGAGGATTATCTCTTTGGGTTTCAAGGCCGGAGACTGCTGAAAGGAAGGAGACTCAGATGCTGAGGAAAGGGCATTTTACTGGTCTGGGTTGTCAGACTGGTCGCATTAAGCGTTGGCTGACAGTGGCGTCGGGGTCCAAAGTGAAGATGCGAGTGAAAGCTGATCTTGATCACATCTCCGGTCATGTGGTACGCCATATGCGGGTCTAGTCTATCAGCTGACGCAGCCTCGCTCGAGCATCTGTTGCCTACCGAATTCGATGGAGGGACGGCTTGGTCAGTAAGTGGAAGCGTCATCACAAATATAATACGTAGTATGATAGTGAGACAAAGGGAGAAGGATCTAGTCCAAAACAAGACCAAGTGCGTTTTAAAAGTGCGCGCCTTTTCACATACTCATGACCTCGAGAAGGCGATCAACGTCCACGGTGAGAAAGTTCACGATTTGTCCTGCTGTGTAGGCCCCTCGAGATTCCGAAGACAGTTTCAAGGTCTAGACAACGAAGGAAAAAAGCGCTTGATTATCCGATCAACGTCTTAACAAACATGACAGCAGGCCTTGTCAATGTATCAGTACAATTACCACTGTCTGAAATGCTGGGAGTCCCGCCACCACCTAACTCAGGACAGCGGTAAACACATGTTTCCCCAATGTCATCAATAGAGCTAGAACCATCTGGGTTTCTATGATCACCACCGAAGGTTCGACCTTCAGTTCCGATGAGATCTACTGTATGCTTCACAGCATCATGGTGCGTGGAGTATTTTGGAGTAATTATGGACTTGTGTTGATTCTACCGCACTCTCTCTTCTCTCACTCATCTGTTCTTGGTGTCAGTACAGAGTCAAGGAGACTGGGAGCGGAATCGGGTGCAGGTGGCAGGTTTGGCCAGAGCCGCGACACCTGAATAAGATCCCACGGAGTGGGT